TAAGCCCTCGACCATCCGTGACAAATCCTGATACCTGACCTACAACCCGCTCCTTCTTCTGATGTTCTGGCTTTGCAGCCTCCACCTGAGCTCCTCGAATAATATCTAGAATCGGGGTCAAAACCGTCAATCTCATACAAATATCTCGGATCGGGGTGCTATCAACCCTACGGCTCAACGCGTCGGCTACCACATTAGCCTTGCCCGGGTGGTACAGGATCTCACAATCGTAATCCTTCACCATATCCAACCATCTTCTCTGTCGCATATTTCAGGTTTGGCTGATCCATCAAGTACTTCAAGCTCTTATGGTCTATGTAAATCGTACACCGAACCCCGTACAAATAGTGTCGCCAGATCTTGAGGGCAAACACCACCGCTCCCAATTCCAGGTTGTGCGTGGGATATCTCGACTCATGAGGATTTAACTGCCTCGAAGCGTACGCTATCACATGACCCCTCTGCATAAGCACCGCCCCCAAACCCGATATAGAGGCATCACAGTATACCACAAAATCCTCCATCCCTTCCGGGAGTGCAAGCACTGGAGCCTCGCACAATTTCTGACGAAGCGTCTCGAATGAGGACTGCTGCTCTGGTCCCCATGAAAACGTAACACCCTTCCGGGTCATCCTAGTAAGTGGCACATCGATCTTGGAGAAATCCTTGATAAATCTGCGATAATATCCAGCCAAACCAGAAAACTCCCTTATCTCGGTGGGCGATCTCGGCACCTCCCACCTCAACACCGCCTCAATCTTGGCCGGGTCGACCAATATCCCTTTTTGGTTCACAAGATGCCCGAGGAACTGGACCTCTCGTAACCAGAAATCACACTTGGAGAACTTGGCATACAGTCTCTCCGATCTCAAAACCCCAAGAATCTCCATCAAATGTTCCTCATGCTGGTCCCTAGTCCTCGAATACACCAAAATATCATCGATGAATACGATCACCGACCGATCCAGCATCGGTCGGCACACTCGGTTCATGAGATCCATGAATGCGGCCGGGGCATTGGTGAGCCCAAAAGGCATCACCACAAACTCATAATGTCCGTAACGAGTCCTGAAAGCAGTCTTTTGGATATCCTCCTTGCGAACCCTCATCTGATGATATCCCGACCTCAAGTCAATCTTGGAAAACCAAGATGCCCCCTGCAACTGATCGAACAAATCGTCGATCCTAGGTAACGGATATCGGTTCTTAACCGTCAACTTGTTCAACTCCCGATAATCGATACAC